AGTACCAATAATTCGCCAGTCACCAACTAAACAGGACCGATAAGACTTTAAAGAGTAAATCATCTAGTCAACCACATACATAACTATTGCTAAACGGTAGATTGTTGCAGACAAGTCCTGGAGCAACAATTAGCAATGATTTCCCAGGTCAAACTATAATATGTGAAAATGTTTAGAATAATTATACTCTCAGCAGAGCAATACGAAATAAGAAATAATGTTATAACGTTGAGTGACATGTGACTCAGGTTTTAAGACGATTAAAAAACTAGAACTACACTAAACCAACGAGTTCGATTAAAACATTGCCTCACGGTTACGATCCAAGGTAAGATATTTGTGAACTGAAGTGCCATAATCGAACAGCGTGTCAACACCAGTCTTTTAATAGCCACAACTCAACTCTTCAAAGCTAGCTAGTTACACAGTGGAAAGTCTGTTAACACCGCACATCCTAATTTCATTTATACACTAGCTAATCATATGAAGACTTCTGAACTGTGTACAACAAACTTTGATTCCCTTTCATTCTCTTAAATAAGTGGTTAAATTCATTCTCCTCACTATTAACCTAATATTAATTCACTGGTTACTATTTTTCATTCTATTACATTTAATTTTCAGGAAGACAGACAGACAAAATCAATGTAGAACCACATACACAAGTGCATCGGTCGAAACAAGTGAATAGGAAGATCGACTACAAAGAAGAAAACGGTGTATGGATGAGAATATATCTGAAGATTGAGGTCAGTCAAACCATTCAAGCTTTAGAAGATACCAAGGAGTAAATCTACTTGCGCCACTGACTGATTTTCAGCCGTTTAACCAAGAGTTCCAAACCACTGATTTCTATCATCTCACGGACCTTAGTCAGATAGTCTACATCTTCCCATAAGGCTCAGACCAACGATCAGGAACTTCATGGACTGGTACCACGTCTTGATCTGGCCATCCTGAACCCTCTACCAACCTAATCCAACTTCTCCTAGCGTGTCAAATCGATGTAGGCAGTGGGTCGACATGCGCAACAAGTGTCCAAGCCACCTTAGCCAATGAAAGTTCACCGCCACGTCAATCGACTTCCCAACCTTATTGTTATTATCATTAGAACACAAACATAGTACAGCGAAGGTATCAAGAAATGCGCAACATAAAATAGTATAGTAACACCATGAAGACATAAAGTGAAGTGGATGGAAGAAAAACAATAAGAATAGAATGAGTAAAAGGGTAGTCCGGCAAGATACATTCAAAGTAAAACACCCATTACTTTTCAGTAGCAGAAGATAGAAGGAAGCTACAGCATGGACACTGGTTTCCATTCTGAGGCATATCTGATAACGTCTCAAGTCAGAGTTGCATGATCTCTCGGACCCCAACCAGGGAGTCATGATACACCAATAGGTGCGAACCCGACACGATTAACCTTCATCCTACACCGCCCTCATACTGACTACCCGTCCGCTTCTTTTATCCAATGCCACGGCTAGCAAACAATGAACGGTATGGAAGTCGTTGGGTCGACGTGTGTAAGATATGCTTAAACCACTGAAGCCGGTGTTTCCAGATGACTTCACTTATTGAATGATGACCTCTGTCATGTCCAGACACACGCTGTCGTACCTCAGAATTACATGCTTTTGCCACCGGATACGAGTTATCCTACGGAGACAACAACACAGAATAGTCGTACATCCTCAACTCGGATAGGCCAGGTTTCATAGGCGTACAGCAGAACTGCTCGCACTGAAGCTTTGTAAACCAAACCTTTTACGGGCAGACTAATGTCGCGGGGGCATCAAAGGTGGCCCACATAGATGTATGCCATTCTGGCTTCGGATATACGGTTGGAAATTTCCTCACACACCCCCACCAGCGCTCATAACTACCCAGATATGAGAACTTTTCGACTACTTTCAATGGCTTACCATCAAGGGTGAGCGCAGGCACCAGCTCCAGTTAATCTTACAAAAGTACTTCGCACTTCAATGGCGCAAAGCGAATACCATACTTACGGATAATATTCGCTAAGTACGACTTGAGTAGCCTATCGCATATATTCAAGCTAAAATAGCCGTTCTGTGAGTAGTAGGTTTAGTCCAGTAATGCAGCTTCGGCTTCAGCGCTTAGTGTGGGACCGACACCAGTAAGGCCGGTTGCCAATACCGTACGGTCCCCGCACATGTAACATACTTCTCGAGCTGACAGATGGGGAACTAACTCGAAGCACTTCACTGGGATTTTGAATGAGGGTCTCTGGGATCCAACATACATCAATAGCGAGGCTTTCTAGAGTCTTAGCAAAACCTGCCAGTTATCCGATCTGCATCAAGCTGCGAACGTTAGAGGTAGTGAGCTTAAAAGGTATGCGTGTTTTCAGGAAAGTTGTGTTAAATGTCGTACTGCTTTATGGGGGTAACTGTTTGGCGACTAAAAACGGTACAGACAGACCAGAAGTCTAGGAAATGGAGAGCAGCTGGACGAAGTGAAAATAAAGATAAGAGCAAAGATGGTAATCATAAAAAATACAGTTCATATATGTACCCTTCACCTGACCTCAATATTAATGACACGGTGATATCATGAGATTCCGTCAGAAATTGGCTCATTGGGGCTGACGCAACACCTTAAGGTGAAGCGGTCAGCGTATTCTACCACTTCACTCCCTATCCTTAAACTGGGAGTCGTTGCAAACTAGTTCTGGATCATTATCTTACATTTGACAGGTGCGGAATGCATGCCAAACATACTCAGACTTCTCCTCAACGTGTTCAATCCACAATACTCATAAAAGTTTACGTAGATGCTATTTAACACATTATGCTGTGATATACACTGTCAAGTGGTCACCGAAATGCAATGAGCAAACATATTTTGATAAGTAAGGAAAATTCAACAAAAACTGCTGCTACCATGTGCATTAAGCTAGTCAAATGATGCTCATTGACCAGTCAAGTAGCTAATTAGATGGTGGACGGAATAAGAATCAATTGGTATTAATGATTTTTCCAACCACTTGGGTCACTGCTATAAATAAATAGCTTCTTCATGAAGTAAGTGATGAAGTCACGTAGTCTGATGATGAACCGTTCAAAACAAAACTGACGGCTCGAAGAATACCAAATAATTACCACTGTAATCCTGAGCCACAAATTTTCGATCCTATTTGAATAACTTAACTCTACATTCACAATCTTGATGGCTATCAAACTTCCTGGGTGATTTCATACAGTAAGGTGAGACATTTAGAGACTACACATCAATTAGTTAGCATGAACGTTGAACCTGGTATTATTGGGTAATGCTCTGAGTTGCCATAACTCATGTCAGTACAACACTGTATATTAGGTAATAAATGGAATCCAATTTGCGTCAATATTTTAAAGTCAATGATTTAGGGTTTTTTTTTCTTTTGGAATACCCACTGTGCATACAATTCATCTTAGTTACTAAAGAGAACACATACTGTACAAAGTACTAAGAACTAAAACTTCTCAAACGACAGTCGAATCATGGTGATTATACTCCAATCACTACTAAAATACTGACCGTTGATGATAAGTGTGACGACGCCTTGACTTAAGGATGATGCAAAACCTTTTTTTGTGCATAACTGAATAACTCCGTTTAATTTTAGACTAGGTAGATGAAACAGAGAATAGTTGAGTTAAAATTTAAGAAATTTTACTTGTATCCACACCTGGGACTAATGACAATAGGAACGATTGAATCGAAATCAAATCCATCTCTGGATGTGTACATCATTTTATTCCTTCATAGTGGGAAAAATTGACTTTAAAGCTTATTGAAGAACTAGTGACGTAAGAAACTACTATCCTGTGCACTAAGCCCTCGGCCCTCGAGCTTACACACTTTACAGAATAAGGCAACACAAATGATATGGAAAAACAACAAAACTATTAAATACAGTATACACAATGCAAATAGACAGGGAAAAAGATTTCGTGAAAGCATATTCATGCCATATCTATTTTTATTTATCCAAATATCATTTATGAACATAAATCAATAAATATAACCTCATATGTTTTACATTACCCGATAGGAACATGAAAAATTATTTCTTGTATAAAGATGGAATAAATAAGTTACAAGAAAAAAAAAGTAGTAAAGCAAGTTAAGAAGGGATCAAAAGAGGATACTGATGCTAAACATGATCCCTATTACCCCTTAGGCCTCACTTACGGAGTTTCTGTTATAACGATAAAATATAACAATGATGCATATAACAAATGTTCGAATATATGAAACAGATTGTTCTCCATTTGTCCTACTAAACATAATCCTATAGCTCTATATCAAAACACACAAATGTAAAAATATCTTACCTTAAAGAAACACCGTTATAGATAGACAAATGAATGATAAAATGGTTAAAATATAAAAAAGGGAAGAAGTTTAAAACACTTAAAAAAAACATTGTTCACAAATGTTCACTATTTCGCTGAACAGATAGATAGATGGTAATAGTGATGTACTAGAAAGTACTAACCGGGAACTAACTAGACCAAAATAATAGACTGACTCAATTTCATAAATAATAATCAATACACAAGTGGATAAAAAAACACAAGTTATCGTACAATAAGGCATAAAAGAGCGTCAGTGCTTTACCAACTGAGTCAATACTTATATATATATATATATATATATATATATATATATATATATATATATATATAATATATATATATATATATATATATAGCAATGTATAAAGTAAATGCAAAAATTCGGAAATTACCTTCGGAATACAAACGAACGCTTAATAATAATAACCATGATAATAATAATAATAGTAATGGTAGTAATAATAATGATAATAATAGTAATAATAATCATAATAATATTAATCAATAACACCATTTGGTTTCAATCTTTTCACTGAACAAATGTGGATCTCAAAAAAGGATATATATAAAAAAAACCATGAAAATGTGTCATATTCTTCTAACTTATTATAGAATTTAACCATTGGCTCGTATTTATTTATTTTTATACAAAAAAAGTTCAATAATAGGATAAGATATTCGACTTCTCCCTTGAATAACACCGGGTAATATAAGTTAAAAAGAACAAAATGATAAAGAAAGGAGATGAAAATATACTCAAAGTATGAAAGCAAAATAGGAACGAAATATTCAGCAAAATAAAAGTAAGCAATAAATTACAAAGTAAGTATTGTGCAGTAAAGCATTAATTATTGAAATGAAGAAGATTATGAAAGTTATGCACAGGAAGAGAAAAAGATGTATAGAAATAGCAAAAGTAATAAGGATGCGGTTGATAATATCAATGATAGTAGTGAAAACAATGAACTAATACTGATTAACCGGTAAATGTAAACTGAGTGGCACCAAATGTTTAGGCATTGATAACGGTTGAATTGTATCCAACTTCAAAGGCACACCTGAACTGAATGACGTTGTGTAAGCTGAAATTCCTGCATTATCGTTACATACTGATAGTGGTGCTGTAATTATTTGTCTTAAGGAGGAGGATGGATAAGAAGAGTTGAATAACTTCCCTATTTGACCAGTAGGTGTTATTATTGTTCCTGGCGTTAATGAAATATACTGTTGTTTTCCTTCCAAATTTAATAAATGTAATGCATCGTGAAGTTGTTGAGTAGTACCAACCAGTAGAACACCTCCAACACCAGGTCCATAACAACCAGTGGACAAGTATGCCAATTCCCGTGATTGATTTTCATTTGATGGGAATCGATTGTAATTATCATTTCGCTCATTCATGATAAGTGAAGTCTTGAGATTTTCAAATAAACAAAAGTAAAGTCAGTAAACACAAAATAGCTAACATGGAATAATTTGATAAAACAAAACAGTAACCTATAAGATCTCTGAAAATACACAAATATAACGTAAGTGTTTATTGCAGTTTAGAAAGATTGTAAAGCTCGCTTGTTTTTGTATCTTTTATAACCCTGTCGCCACTGTTTATACACTTATAGTGACTTGATATAATCTGAGTTGTATATATCTACGAACGCTTGAACGATCACCTTCATATTTAGCCTCTGGATGGTCACTCAGTTTTCTCCATAGGTAATATAACGAAGGTGTATCGCCACGTCCAAAAATATATAACAAAATACAAGGGTTTATATATAATATTTATAATGGCCTTGGCTATTTTTTCCACACCTTTCTAGATTTGAATTGTCCTATTGATTTTCGTCCCCTCAACCAATTTGATATTTACACGTTAGTCTATGTGCTCTCTCTTGAAACCGGTGCAATATGATTGGTCACAGAAAGCTTCAAGGATTTAGAGCTTTTTATGAAGATTATAGCAATCTTATTCCACACTATAACAGTATTCTCGAGGTGGCCAGACTAAAACATGGCACCATGTATGAAGTCTCTGACTGTTGGTTTAAGCCATGTAGGACGATGCAGACTAGGTGGTTGGAGTCCGCGGGACAAGAGGAACCAGTGGTTGTAGACTGACTCTAGGTGATCACATGGCTGAGAACCGATGTCAGTGGCGCAGATGTATCCCCACACACATTATCCTCATCTTAACAACGCTATACCGAATCTCACCATTTTGTCACTCCTCTTTCCTTTCTTCTCGTACTTTATATTTCTTTTGACTGCATTCACTTATCTTCATCCTTTACCTCACTACCTCTCTACTTGATGAACTGACGTGAGGTGTGGCAACTCGGACCGTTACGCAGTAATGCCTGGTCCTATGTTGATAATGATGATGATCCTCGAAAATGAATGACAAGATGAAAATAGAAGCTAACTTGAGGTTATTGGTGGCAGGTTTTTCAACAGGTTGGTCAACACTGTGTGAAAAATATGCCTTGTATTTCATTAAATTCACGAACTATTAAACCAATGATCATTTAATGGCCAATTTTTTCCAAACCATCAAGTTTAAACTCAGTCTAAACATCGATATACTTATGAATGTTTTTGAAGCCAAATCGAAAATAATATTTTACATTTAAACAAAAAACTAACTTGACAGTTCAGTTTTTGAGGATCATTTAGCAAGTTTTGATTAGAATCACGTAAAGAACACTCAGATTTTTGAGTACTTGAACACACTGAGTAAAGTGAATTAGGTGATAAGATTGCCTGAACACGTGAAAGTGTTGGTTGCCAGTGAAAAATCTGTTGTTGTTGTTGCTTTTGAAAAGGATCAGTCATAAAATCCTCCGTTGATGATTGCAATCTGACACTGAGTACACTTTCTGTTAAAGCCGAATCAACTGATTCCCCACTCAAATAACGAGAATGAGACGGTATAGTATTACCACACGTTATGATTGGTACACCAAACTCCATTTCATTTCCCATTGTTGTTGTACATTTGTCATCCTGTTGACTACTTGGTAAAAAAGAGTACGAATCGTTCGTAGTTGTAGTATATGAAGCTGGTTGATTTGCACATACAAATGTTGATGTCATTGTAACCTGAATATGATTAGAAAGAGTATGAGGGCAACTGGAAAAGAGACGATATTTAAGGAAAACCAGACTTGATCAGAGTTATATACTGAAAATGAATTTGACTGTTACAATCATGACTATCATAAGACAGGTCACAAAACTATTACTGCTATACCCCTGTAGATTATCTTGTGAACTTATCGACTGCTAACAATATATAACTTTAACTAACACGGCTTAGTAAACGTGGCAAGTTTGTGAACTAGCAATAAAATGATACTGTAGGAAATATAATTCCGTAGGAATTCAACTTGACAACAAACAACACAGTATGACCTGATCAAGCTACTAAGTATCTGCTATTTAAACGAACAAATACGATCAGTAACAATGATATAGTTCGATGCCCAAATAGAACATAAAATTAAAATCAGTTTACTACTTATGTCCTGTAGTTTTCGTCATGAAAATTAAAAACAAATCTAATTTACCTTTTCATCTAAACCAACAAGTGATTGTGGGATACCATTCTGAATGCTACAAGTGTGCGGCATAGTGTTTGAATAGTAAACAGGACGTTTGAGAATCATTATTTGGTTTGAAGTCAGGTCAGGAGAAACAAATTTTGATTGGTCAATCAAGTTTGGCGGGATCATAAACGGTCGACCAACAGTGTTGCACGAAGGCAAATTACCAGTCTGATTATTATTGCCGAATATCAAAGGTTGACCAGTAGACGGGATGACAGAAATTCCTACATCAAAAAGTAACATTGAAATTTATGCTCAAAATGATACACAAGTTGAGGTAATAAGCGAAACAGAAGACCAGTAGCATTAAAAACTAGTCAAGCGTATATTTTTCTCACACACCTGTATCACTACGTGACTAATTCGATCTTGATAACCAACGCACGACTCCAACTTTTCCCTCTTTCTAGGAAATAAGAACAGGATGTAGCTGACTCATATTTAGATGGAAGTGTAAGCTCAGTTTAGCTAGCTGGTTTTAAAACTATCAGTGAAATACCATTTATTATCTTCAGTATGACCTCACTGATTGTTCATCTGTCTACTTCACTTGACGTAATGGCATCTTAATAAGTCTAAAATAAATTCTTCAGTCATTTCAGAAATATCAACTTATGAATCATCCAAAAGTTTCAGCAACTCATCTATCGATTGAAGTATTTGAGTAAAGGAATTAAATATACTCTTGGCATTGAACAATGAGCGAACTTAATAACACATTTCAATAGGGCAGGTAAACTGTGTAACCCCCTTTATGCTGTTGCATTAAAATTTATCACCTTATTTGTGAAGCTTCGCTCATGAAGACAAATGTTTACAAAAAAGTATAGGAATGATCTAATTGCACTGTATTATTCAATATGCATAGAATAATAGCCAGTATGTTATATTAACCCGAAAAGCAATAATAGCACAGCAACTGGACTTCAAGTAAAGTGGCCTTGTAAAGAACCAGAGACTAAAGTGAAGTTCACAGTCAAAAACACTAATGTATATAATTAACGAGCAACACCATAATAAAAAGCAAATCAATTCACGTAGTCACAAACCACAACTCGATAAAATGACTGCATACCTGAATAAGGGTCAATGCCGACTAATGGTAATCGTAAAGGGCGATTATAATGGAACGGGTCGATTTGATTTTTAGTTAATTTATCTTCTCTTAAAAACTGATTTGTTACGGTTGGTAAACCTGTATCAGGAAAATTTGGAAGGGGATTTTCTAAATTGTTGTTGAAATCCAGATTCGAACCATTCATATCTAATCGAGGTGTATACATCATTGCAAATGGGGAACCTGATGAAAATGCACTAGCAATGGGTTCCCTAACCTGAGAATAAGAACAGTTTGAATAGCAAGCTGAATCTGGATCCTCAAGGATCTTACGCATGACCATTTCCACTGCTATTTTTCTTTCGTCAAATTCACCTAAAATTAGAGGAAAAAATATATGCTGCATGAATTCAATTACTAAGGGGTTGAAAACTTCTTCACCGAAATTTTATAAAAGCATGAACAAGGGGATTCTTCTGCTAGCCACAACCAACCAAATTATCATAAGGGGAATACTAGTCCTGAAAATGTTGCAAAACCCTATATCCTATAACATTTTGAGGATAACTGATGGGAGTATCACGGTTGTGCAGATTGCTTTAAAAGTTATGAACATTGGTCGAGATGTAGCCTCAAGTACATGCCTACCTAGTTTGGCCCGAACAACTCGGTAGTATCACAAGCAGTCACACAGTAAATGCGGCTCACAACACACAACATGCATCATCTAAACCCTCGAAATCTTGACAGTTAATTACTCTTGTTCGTTCCTGCAACTTTGCAGCATAAGTGGTAAACTTGATATCTTCTTATGGTTGAACATTAAGTTTTTACAGTGGGTTCAACCTCTACGTTGTCAGAATAAAACAGGTCACCAAACTATTTAGTTTTAAAACACCCACCTGTACCATACACGGGGAATCCGAACCTCGTTCAAGCCCACTAGAACCAAAATTGAAGAATAAGGGATATGGGTCAAAAGGGAGGTCACATTCACCTATTCTCTTTCGACCTCTCAATTTTAGGTAGGTTGTTGTTTACCTCATACTCCAACTCGACTTATTCTATTTGCATCTACCTTTTATAATCCTGGTAGCATCACTTGTTTCTCATAGATTTTAAACTAACTGATTTCTCTTTAATGTCCTGGAAAGAAATGTGGTGAAATGCAGCCGTGCTTGATTTTTATCAGGCTTGCATCGTTTATTTGTTGAATAAGTTTGTAACTATGATTTAGTCACCAAGTAAACAAGGGAACCAATGTCTTTAAACTAATGGTACAATATTTAAAGAACAGTAAATCTAATTCCATTATCTTGATGAGATTGAGCAAACAAGGAATGTATCACTTTATTTCTGTAAAGTGATGTAATACAAAGCATTAGACTCGTACGTTTGATGAGAATCTTTATGAAAAAATTATTCAAGTCTCGAAAATTTGCAGTTTCATCTACATTTTATTCCTAACAGAACCTATCTGAATAAAATGGAAGATCGGTTATCAGGAATAAGTGAATGGTATAATCCAAGCGGTTAATCCAAAACGACGAATAATATATGTAAGTTACATATGTGACTAAAAATGTATAACAAAGGCTACTGACCACAAGAAACTTGTCAATAATATTTTTAAAATTCATGTTTGACACATCTTCGACAGCAATGTTATTGGACTCAACGATGAAGATAAATCAATATAAAACCAAGCGAATCGGTTTATATTACTATGCAAACAAATAGGTAGAGAAAGAGTAGTATCAAAGTAGGAAGGAAAATGAACTCAAAAATCTAGGTTGGTGAGAATGTTCAGAAAGTGAATGCACCTGTGCAGTTAGAACCAATTTTCAGACATTTCACCAAGAGTTTCTAACCATTGGTTTTTATTATCTCAAAAACTCCAGCCAGGCTGTCTACATCTTCCTACACAGCTCCGACCAACAGTCAAAGACTTCATGGATTCATACCAAGTTTTGTTCTAACTACCCTTAGCCTTCTTCCAACCTAATCCTACTTCGGCTGACATAGCACATCAAGGTAGGCGATGTCTCGGCACGCTAAGTATATGCCCAAGCCTCCTCAGTCGGTGAAGGTTCATACTATCAGCGACTGACTTGCTTTTCTTGCCTAGTACCCTCCACCGAACCTCAAAATTCCTTACACGGTGATTATACCAAACGGATGCAATTCTACGAAGACTTGTGGTTAAAATCCTGCAACCTCTTCCCTTTTTCTACCTTCAGAGGTCATATCTCACAGGTATATGATAAAACAGAGCAGACTGCAGCACATTATATTCGTCCTTCAATAGGAAGTCGGACAGCTTGCCGGCATCGGAGAAAGTGTAGGCTAGTAAAAAGCTGAACTTGCTGTTCGAATACGGACCGACATTTCATCCGTAGCCAGTCAAATCTGGCTGACGCAACTCCCCAAGTGAAGCGGGTTATGAATTTTACTATTTCACTCTCTACCTCTAAACTAGAAATTTGTGCATACTAGTCAGTTCTGAAGCAACATATTACGCTTGGTACATAAGAAATGAGTGCCAAACAAACTCAGATTTTTTTATAAGTGTCTAGACAACACAACGTTTTGTCAGCGTCTTCGACTGAATACTTTAAGTTAACTATATACCTGCCTAGGAGTAGGTCAAGCATCTACAGTTGGAGGCAACTAGGGTTGTGTCGATTAGTATGTATATAACGCAGCTAAACACGAGTGGTGATAGTAGGCATCCTCGGTGAACACCAGTGAATGTCGTTACCCCAGACGATGGTATCCCACAAGCCCCCACATGACTATGCATTATCATCATCAATATCAACATAGAACCAGACATTACTGCGTAACGGTCCGAGTTGCCACACCTCATATCAGTACATCAAGTAGAAAGGTATTAAGGCGCAAGATGAAGATAAAAGAATGCAGCCAAAAGAAATATAAAGTACTGGGAGAGAGAAAAGATGAATGAGAAAATGGTGAGATTCGGTATAGCACCGTTAACATGAGGATAATGTGTGTGGGGATACATCTGCGCGACTGACATCGGTTCTCAGTCATATCACCTAGAGTCAGTCTCCAACCACTAGTTTCTCTTGTCCCCCCGAAACCATAACCACCTAGTCTGCATCGCCCCACATGGCTCAAACCAACAGTCAGAGACTTCATACATTGGTGCCATGTTTTAGTCTGGCCTTATCGTACCTTTTTCTAGCCTGGACCTACTTCGGCCAACATTCTGTGAAGAGGTAATCGGCAACTAGGCATACGTAATACGTGTCCCAACCAGCTATCCCAGTCGATGAAGGTTCATAACCTCGTCAACTGATTTACCTCTACTCCCTAAAACTCTACACCCAACGTCTGCGTTACTCGGGATACGGCGGCTTATACACTACGAAGGCAACGGTGGTCAAACACCTGAAGCCAGCCTTCTCATGTCTTCCACCTTCAATGGCCATGTTTCACAGCTATAGAGTAGAACAGACCGGACTGCTGTGCAGTACACGCGACCCTTAATAGACAATCGGATATCACGGCGGCGCCATAGGTGGTGTGAGTTAGCAAAAGCTAGTCGAGCCTTTTGTATTCGTGCAGAGATTTCATCGGCCACTGGGCCACCAGGGCTGACCCTACTTCCCAGGTAAGTGAAGTGGTTGACACACTCAATCACTACACTCTCCATTATTAGCCGTGGCACCGTTAAAGACCAATCCTGGAGCAACAATCTGCATTTGTGTTGTGAGAACGGCATCCCAAACATTCTCAAATTCCCACTCACTGTTCAGAAGACTCAGCATCTTGTCAACGTCTTCACCTAACAGGACTACGTCATCTGCATATTCTAGGTCTAATAAAAATCCTCCTGCGATTAGGTCGTCTGTGTAATCAGGTGAAGAGAGGGAGACCTCCATGAGAATATCTATGATAAAATTGAATAAGAATGGAGATAGTGGGAAGTCTTGACGTACACCACTCGACGATCATAGTTCCCTGGACATCTCACCATAGGCTCTAACATGCCCACAAGTGTTCGAGTAGAGAACTTTCAATAAGGTGATGTACTTACTCGGTACGCCTTTTAGTGACAGACATTGCCATAAGACTTCTAGATCAACGGAGTTCAGTGCCACCTCTGGGTAGAGAAATACAGCTAGTGTCGGGCGTCGGTAAGTGTGCCTATGTTCCAGAACCTGGCGCAGTCTGAATATTTGGTCGATACACCCGCGGCTGGGTTTAAATCCTGCCTGGTTTTCTCGGGCTTGGTGTTCCCGAGCTCCACTCAGGCGTCGGAGAGTTATAGAACCTAGGATCTTGAACACTATGTTCGTTAGGCTGATTCCTCTGTGGTTATCAAAAGAGGACTTCTTGCCTTTTTTGAAGACTGGGATGATGAGTGACTTAGACCAGTCAGAGGGGCTCGTATTTGATTCCCACATACTAGTTAACGCTTCTGTTAACCTGACTAAGAGCCCCTTACCACCATCCTTGTATACCTCTGGAGTTAAACCGTCTGGTCCTGCTGCCCTTCCTCGTTCCAGAGTACCTACTGCTTTCTCGACTTCTGCTAGTGTTTGGGGGTCTATCTCAATGTTCCATTCAGGATCCGACTGAATAGCGGGCAACGTAATGGTGGCTGGAGACCAGTTAAACTGCTCCTTGAAGTGTTCTGCCTATCGTTCCAGTCGTCTCCCCTGCGAGTGAATCGCAGATCCGTCCTTCTACGCTATAGCCTCACTAACGGTTGTTGAACTCCCCCCCCCCAGTCTACTTAATAAGTCTAAATAAATGTCTGCTGTTACCAATCGCCGCTGCCTTTTCCATCTCTTTAGCCTTCGCTGGCCAACACTGTTCGCTGTCGTTGCGTAGACTTTTTCTCAATCTACTTTTAAGTTGCGCTCACTCTTCATTGTACTCAGAACCTGCAGGGATGCATTCATGTGCATCCATTAGTTCGGAAGAAGTTGCTGATATCCACTGACTCTTTTTAGCCACTATTTTGGAGTCGGCTACGATCTTCAAAGCTGTTTTTACAGCAGACTGGATATGGCACCAAGCTTCTTCTTGATGAGTGACAGTCTTTTGTTCCGATAACTGCCTAGCTAATTTCTCACTGAACGCGGCTGTGGTCTTTTGGTTGTCGAGATGCACTCGTAATGGTTTAGTTGCCAAATTTTTCCTACTTCCACGAAAACACTTTCATATACGCTCTGGGACAAACGCATGGTCGCTATCCGAACACGTGGTCCAGAAGGAGCGGCAGTCTTTCATCGATCCTCTCCAGCGATGACTGATAGCAATATGGTCTACTGTGTCCATCACTGAGTTGAGCTCGGTAAACGCCACGTCAGACAGTGTCTTTCTTTATGTCTGAAATTTGTGCTAACTAAAAACAGGTGGTTATCTGAGCATAGTTGTAGTAGGCGATCACCGTTATCTGTTCGTTCAGCCGAGACTCTGAAAGTGCCACCTAAGTGCCTCTCTGCCTCACTCAGTCTACTCACCTGTGCATTGAAATCACTTGCAACTACCACTACTTCTGAAAGTCCAGCTCTCGAGAGGAGGCTAGACAGTTTTCGGTAGAACTCGTCCTTCACTTCATCCGAACTGCAGTCATTGACTGCGTAAGCAGAGATAACAGAGACAATGGCAAATTTCACTATTCCTTTTGGTTCTCACTGTGCCGTTCAGCCTGACAGAGCAGAGACGGTTATCAACTGGGATTCAGTCTAGTAGTGAGTTTTCTGCCCTAGTGCTTAGTGCTATAACTACACCTGCAAGACCACGAGAGCTAGATATCGAATCTCCAGAAACTCAAAGGGTGAATTTCGCGAACTCGCCAGATTGACCGGGAGATGTCAGGTGAATAACCGCACTTGTCTCACAAATGCAGGACAGATCCATGGCCCGAGTTGCTACAGTCTTTGCCAACGAAGCCTGTTGACCGATTTGACGGAGAGTGCGGACATTGAAGGCTCCAATATGTAATTTGGAGTGTGGTTTTAGTAGACCAAGGATGCTGTTTTGTGGACTCAGATCGTTGTCAAAGGCTGCAGAGCTAGGAGAAATTGAAGATGATGCAGCATCGTTAATTGAGAGACGTGAAGAAAGACTAGCAGGTAATGATAAGGGAGGTGGATAGCAGTGTGAGGAAACTTGAATGCTGACAGAGTTGTGAGAACGGTTGACACTTCCCGGCTGCCCACACCATGGATGGCTATTTCTTCTTAAGGTACCTGAAAGAGATTTGTGACCACACAGCCCATCGGACATCTGCTTGAGGCCTATCACACGCAGCCTTTTGTGTATGATTATTTTAAACTTTTGTATTTTTGGGGCCGGATGGTCGAGAGGAAACGACAAATGAACCAACACCGCCGGCCCGGCAGACCGTGGGGCATGGTGGAGTGTTATTTCTGGAGCCGACCTTTTCTAACCCCCCCCCTTCCACTGAGAAGACAGCATCAGTATGGCACTGCTGGTCATCCGAGGGAAACACCTTGCTGCTGTTACACCCCATCCAGCTAGCAGCAGTACGACTTCGCCCTCAGATCTCCATCACCATATAGTAATTTACACTACATCGGTAGCTGCTTTTCGTTTTACCACTATCCAACAGACCTTTCTGGTATGGTAGGACCTCGAGGGAACAAGTGTTCTACCAGCATAGCTTGTTAGGTCATTGTGGTATGCAAGCCCGACCACCATGTCAAGGTAGCAGCTATCGGTCGGGACATGACTATGCGAGTTCGATTAAAGCCTTGATTAGTACTATATACTTGCTTGGGACTCCTTTCACAGTCAGACACTGCCACATTACTTTTCGGTTGACGTTGGTTAAATGTCTACTTCAGATCAAGAGACATGGCAATTGATAGGTGGTGGTGGGCATGCTTATGCTCTAAAACCTGACGAAGGACAAAGATTTGATCGATACACCTTGAAGTGGATCTGCCTGGTCTTTTCGTGTTTGTCGTCCTCAAATTATACATAGAGGGATTATGAAACATAAGCAGTTCAGAGGATGATAGGGATAACAAATGAAAAGATAAGTTCCGAGTAGTATCAACTCACCAGTTATTACAACACAGCGCTCGAAAAGTTTGATATCTTTCGGTCTCTGCGAAACCTGGACAAAGGCATGGCTTTCTTGTTTTATCTTTTCAATGAAATTACCACGCTTTCCGATGATAATACCAGCGGTGGTATCGGGGACCAAGATTTTAACCTTTATTACACAATGAGTTTCATAACAAGACAACTCACTTGTTTGTGACGCTCCACACAATTAACCCCGGCTGTACCTATTATAGCTACATTCTGTGGTCGTTCGCTAATTTTTTTCATCACGTAATCGTGCAACTGCATGCACGCTTCGAGTGTGCCAACAATGAGACAAACTCTTTCAGTGGTTCCTTACATAAAAGGTTGTGAAACAAATATTTCGTTACCTGGGTACAAGTCATCTGCTCGAGACATCTTGAGTTTCGCTCCAGTCTGACGCTTAATTGTCTCGATAGCTTCTCCTCCCTTACCAATAATTGCCCCGGCGGCAACATTAGGGACTAGAATTTTGAAATGCAGCTCTAAAATCAAATAAGAATAAGAAAAATAACTAATCAAATAAGGTTTTTATGAGATTAATTCACTGATTAGCTCAAGATATTTTTTCGAAGACATATGACTAGGCAATTTATAAACGTTTTGCTGCTAGTGGCATATGAGCACCTGTCTAATTTTTGCATTTTAACCGAACGAAAATCAAAATGCACTTAGCGACCACAGGCACGTTCCTGCACTCGGCAATCAGCTACATTTATTGTGAGGGCTAGTGACACCACTTGGTTGCCCGTACTTCGGTAGGTAGGGCGCAGTTTGAACTCGTGACTCACTGACTGAAAGTCCAGTGCTCAGGACGATGAGCCACCTGACTACTTTAACCAGACAAATATTACCAACATAGGACTCAACATAACTGAAAACAGGGTATGAGTGCACATACTTCACTATGCTTGACTTTTAACTTCATAATCCAAAATCTTCAAACGCAGATATTCCTTTATGCGGGTCACAACAACGACTGGTGGCTTCATAAATTTGTTAACTCTTGGTTATTTTCCGACCTAGTCCTTCTCTAGCTACCACACAATGCGCTGAGGCGGAGCGTTATTTGAAGTGTGGAACACGTGATCCGAACACCTCAGTGGCTGAATGTACACAAATCCAACTTACTCCCTTTTCCTCGTAATTCACGCATAATCTTTACTTTACTGACGTGGTGTTCCCACTACGCCCGATCGATGCAATAAAGAGAAGGGTAATCAAGCAATTGAAGCCTAGATTCTCACATCGTTTATAGACATGACTCATACTTACATAATATGATATAGTGGACTAATACGCAGTACACTTGACTCTTAGTAGACATTCAGATACAACGCCGTTCAGCAAGTGATTTGGTCTGATGAAAGGCAAGAATCAGAAATGTGCACTAACAGCTCATTTGGCTTTCGTCTACCTATGCCATCAATATTACAGAGAAAAGATCATACCATTTACTCTGAAATCAGTATACTCTGTTCTAATCCCTTCTGTCACACTATGGCAATGAGACTAGATTGCTGAAAGTGAGGTGAAATCAAGTGACTCCGGGATTATCACAGATGTCTTCCAGACATGGCTGACACTGACGAAATCAACGCGGAACCTCGCACACAGCTCCATCGGCTCAAGTTACCACACTTCACAGTAGTACACAAAGAACGCATGTATAGAAAAAGTGATATCAAAGGAGATAAGGTAGTGTGGGAAAACAAACAATCTGAAGATAAAGGTTATTGCTTTAGGAGCTTTAGATGTCAAGGAGTGAATACATCTGCGCCACTGTGACCGATTTCCAGTCATGTCAACAATAGTCCTCAACCAGTGATTTCCTTTGTATCGGTGACCCCGACCTCGCCTGGTTAACTAGTTCCCTAATTACTAGCCGGTCCTAAGCCCTGGTAAAGAGGGAAGTTTGGGCGTAGGAACAGCAACCCTACCCCGGAAAACCAATCCAACTGCTAAAGAAACTTCAAAGCACAAACAAAATATAAAAAATAAAAACAAAATCATTCCTCGCTTGAATCGGAGAGGCGAAAGGATGCCGGTTGGTGAAAGTAAGGATGTTGACATGGAATGCCCGCACTATGTTTGAAGCTGACTGGCAAGGCTGCTCAGATTGCAAAGGAGCATTGAAGTGCTAGGAATCTGCGAAAGCAGGTGGAATGGAAGTAGACTCTCCAAACTGTCAACTGGAGAGTCAATAATCTACTCTGATATTGTCACCAAGACAACCACGAGCACATGAAGTGAGTGGTTATCATGATGTCCCCAAGAGCATCGAAGGCTCATACAGTGGGAACCAATCTCCTCCTTCAGGATCATGACAGCAAGATCCAACTCAAAAAGAAGGAAAGTCACAATCATACAGTGCTACGCTACGCACCTGCAAATAATGGAGATGGAGAGAAGAAGAAGGAATTCTACAGACAACTTCAATCAACACTGGACAAGACCTCAGTTGGCGACATCAAAATTCTAATAGGCAACATGAATGCCAAACTGGGAGCGGACAACTCAGAAAGAGAACTAACCATGGGTCGAGAAGCACTCGGAGAAATGATGGAGAATTGTTTGCAGAATTCTGTGCATTCAACGATTTGGTGATTGGAGGCAGTGTGTTCAAGCACAAGGATATCCACAAAGCGACATCGATTTCACCAGATCGACACGCCACACAGAATATTAGATAGACTTCACCTCAATGTGAAGCAGGTGGAGATGCAGCCAGTCTACTGGACACAAGATCAAGAATGGGAGCAGACGTAAGTTCAGATCATTATCTAGTGCAAGGAACCTTCCAAATCAAGTTAAAAGCCTTCAAAGAAGTTGGTGATAGACCACAGTCCAAGTTCAACACCCAGGACAGATTTGCAGCCAGACATTTTATAAGTGATGTGACATTCATCTCAGACACTCCAAAAAAATTATACAAAAGTAGTAGAGTAGTTTTTATGCGCTATCAATAACAGATACCGATGCAATCATCCCATGGGATGGGAACTTTTAACATTTCCCAGCAAAAGGTTCGGAACATTCGGGGAATATTGTGCGCCACCTTATCTGCGCCTGAAGCAAAATTTCAGGGTTTCTGCCCAAAAGTTACAAAGAACGCCGCAAGTAAATGCGATAGATTTGCAGTAAACCTCTATCTCAGTCCTAATAATCTGTTTAGAAGTTTCCATGGCTAAACAAATAAACCGATTTTCATTAACCAACGAGGTTATGTACAATGAAAGAAGACGAAAACTCGGACTCAGTTACTGCAACTACCCGACATTCAACGCTGAAAGTAGTAACGCATTCATTTAATGACCGCTGACATAACACTTTCAATCATACAGTCTTCATTATGATTTTTCTTCAGAAAAGAGAAAATGAGCTTGTTAGACCAATCTTGTCACCCATCCAAAGTTTTCAATCCAACATCCTAAATCAATATTGCAACCAGAGGAAACTTGCAATTTCTGAAATCTCGGGCGTAGGCTTTACGCTCGGTTTCTTTGTTCGGCTGCAGAAGCATTTTCACTTTACCTGACTACAGATTCGGAGGGATCGATTGAAGGTTTTCTCTTCAAACTGTGGATTCGGTTGTTTGGGGGAGCAAAGCAGGTGCCAATGAGACCAGTTAATGATTCACAGTTAATCCAAAGTCCCGTACTGAAAGTGAGAGCATAGGGAGCTGATGGTTTTAATTTCTCACGTCTAGTTTTTAGGGCTCAGTTAAGGTTACTCGGCTCGCTCCTGCAGTGGAAAAGGGAATCTTTTCCGCTTTCCTGCCTTTATCACAGGTGAGGTGAATGGTTTTGCGGGTTAGTAATTTCGGTCTGTAGAGTGCTTACGAAGCCGCGAGTTGTCGGTAGATTAGGCATGTCTTGCGACTACTGTCTGTGTGAGTGCCTGACTAAAAAAGCAAGACTGTGATAAAAATATATGGGAATCACCCGGAAGGTAGTAGGTAGCATGGGTTTAGTTGATAGAGAAGAATTGGTAGATAATGTAGTTGTGTTAAGAAGAGAGGTGATCAGTGGTAGGTAGAAGGGGAGTGCTGGTGAGCTAGTAAGGTTAGTGACTCCCTGGGTACGTCCGTGGTAAACCATGCGAAGTGATATAACTGTCTAGCCATCTTTCGAAAGAGTCTACTTAGGGGGCCATGACAAAGTCACGTGGTAGGGCATTCAAAAAGGCACATACTGTCAAGGATAGAAAGTTGGACCTGAGCGTGTCGTTGGCTCTCTGATATGCCATCCTCATGATGACCTCTCTGGTACAGACAAGGCTAATTTGTTTGCGCGGTTTTCCCGATGGATGGTCTTGTAGGCCATGGCAAGGTCCCCCTCTTTCTGTGGTGACCCAGGGTGAATGGGTTTGGGCGTCTTAGTCCTTCAGAATGTGACATCCACCCTAGCTCCACAACTTATTTTGTTGCAGATCTTTGTACTTCTCAAGAAGATTAGAGTGTCTCTCGAATTTTAAGAGGGCCTCTGTGTTATATAATAATAATAATAATAATACATTTCATACAACATACGTTACATGAATACAAACCAACTTAAAGGTTTGATCGTTTTGTTACTGAGAAATGACTGCTATGTACAATGTTAAGCTATACGTAAGATACCGTTATTCATGGCACATAAGAAGTGTCTCTAGAGGAAGAACGTTAATGCTTCGCAGAATTATTGTTCAACATAATGAAGCAAGCTCAGTTCGAAGATAGGAATTATTCGACTATTGTTTGGATCTTCCAATGTTCCTGAAGGTGGGGCAAGTAGTGCAGTCACTACTTTGTTAGGTAGACCTGGAAAGTGAATAACAAGAGCGAGCAGCAGGCGAAATTCAAAACAAGAGCGTAAAAAATACCATGCAGGAGTAGATCAACAACGATGCATCTGGGTGAGTTCTTTGCACCGACTACAAAACCTACTTGAAGAGGTATCGAAAATCAACTGTTTATAGGTAAGCTTATGGGAAGGAGATGAAGGTGCGTACGAAGGTAGTGGAAACTAAACTGAAGCCGAAGGTATCACTATGGAGTGGAGAGATTATAGGATCTTGGACCAGGTATTCGCTTATGTGTAGAAAACCTATGCACAAAAGTGTAATAGTTATAAACGTTTAAATGAAATTCATGGTTTTTGCTAAGATGGTAACCACGCTTTATATAGTCATGAGGAGGTGATCATGGTGTTGCCTGTTGAGTGTTATCATTTAAGGACTATAGAACTGATATGGGGGTGCAGAGTACTCACATGTAAGTACTGATAACAAAAGGCAAATAATAGAACATGTTGCATGCTAAAAAGATCCACCGACAAACAGTTCATTTATCAATCAGGGGTAAAAAGATTACTTTAAGGGAAGAAGTTTACGAAATAGGTGTCAAGTCAAGAGATCAGTTAGGTTACGCAGAAATGGAGGTTACATCAGAGCAGCTACAGAGTTTACTGTTGCAAATCGCACCACACTCCGCTTCCTGTCCACCCTTGGTCATTTTTTAAAACTAGGTGTTACCTTAACCTACGCTTTTATTTTCCGGAATTGTATACTTTTATCATTGCTGTTAGCCCCTCTTCAGTCTAGGTACCAGTAGCACCATTGTACATGGCATTACCGTTTGTGATATGGCCGACGACGAATTGGTGGGAATCGTTAGATATGAGGAATCGACTAAGTAATCGTTGAAACTGGCCGAGAGATCGATATGCTCGAATAGGAGCGGGAAGTTTCTTCCACAGCGCACCGTATTCCCTTGTGAAAAACCTACACCAAAGTCTCGGCGATATTTATTTATTGGAATAGTACGTTCGCTATTACGCAGACTGTATGCCGGTGTTGAGTTGAAAGTAATAGCGCAGTTCATTTCAGATTTTCCAAGTAAAAGACGAAAAAGGAAGGTCAGGTTGACCCTCAAGTGCCTCGGCCAGAGTGTTTCTAGTTCCGGTTTTTTGCGCCTTGTTTCGTAAGGAAGTCATTCGTTATGTATTAGCAGGTGCCGAGTGAAGTTTCGTTGGATGTTCTTTACTCGAATTCTATCGAATACTTCCATGTTACCATAGATAACCGTGCAATGCTCCAATATTGAGCGAACCGTGACTTTGTATAATATAAGTTTTGCCTCAGGTGTGAGTACGTTTCTGTGTCGAAGACCTAAGAGTCTTCCGCCTTTAGAAACTATTGAACCTGCATACTCCGTAAAAGTCAAACTCCTGGAGTAAGTGATTCCGGGGTCTTTCACAGTGTTGTATAACTGCGCTGCGGTGTCACCCAGGTGTAGCGTTACTTCTGGGTGGGATTTGCTGAAATGGAGGATGCCACTTCTATTTGGGTTTAAAGGGAACTGCCAGGTCGCGCTCCATGTGAATACTCTCCCCAGATCTTCTTGCATTCGAGAGGAACCTTGTGTTAGTGCTGCGCGAGAAAAGCTGTGGACTATCTTCAAGTCGTCTGCGAAGAAGTGAGGTATGCCACTTTGGATGACACTGCACGGCAGGAGTAACAATTACGGAATTTTACTACTTGGAGGTGACCCTCTAGAGATGTTCTAACTGTTGAAGGCAGGCGGAGATATCATGGAAGGACAACTAACTGATGCCATTAGGAGGCACACAGTGCCATCTGTGGGCAAGTTGTGCGGTATGGGGTGAATGATGTATGTTACTATTAAAAGGAATAGATATGGGACAGCCAGATAAGGAAACGGTTGGGTTAGGCATATTGCTCGATTCAACATCTGCCTTAAGCGTGTCAGATGGGTGAGAGGGAGAGAGAGATTGGGCTACTCAGGTTATTAGTGATCATTTGACAATCACTGTATGGTGTAAGTCCCGACCCATGGGGTTCTAGTACACTGCTCTGGACGACACCACTTTGTAAAGGTCTAGGTAAGCAGTAGCAATTACTGAATTTTACTGCTTGGAAGCGACCCTCTAAAGACGTTCTGAGCCAGGACAGAAACGGGTTTTGGAAACCAAATGATTTCAACTTAGTGACCAGGCGTTTATGAGGCACCTTATCGAATGCTTGCCTGAAGTCTGAGAAAAGAGTAGTTACAAATCGGCCTTGGTCACGCTTGCTTGTAACGTTGTCTGGACAGTCAAGACAGTTCGTAGTGCATGACCAGCCTTTCAAGAATCCGTATCGTGCTGGTAAGAGTAGCGGGTTTGTCGTCATGTAGCCGACTTCTTTCACAATCACCTTTTCCATGGTCGTAGATACCACTGACGTGATGTCTATAGGTCGCTAGTTTTCCATATTACGTGTTGTTCCACATTTGTGCTTAGGGCATATGTATGATAGTTTCCAGTTCTCAGAGCGTTTGCCACTGAAGAGGGGCGTATTAAAGAGCTTCAAGAGAATCAACGGTATATCTTCGCCACCTCTTTTTAGCAAGATAGTTGGAATTTCATCAGGTCCAGAGCTGCGTGAGGTCCGAAGTGATACCATAGTTAGAGAAATATTTTGTTGAGTGAAAAGCACAGTACTTATCGAGTGAGTTGATGTTGACGGAGTACCAATGACTTTTGTTATGTCCTCGTCTGTAAAGCAGCTAGCGAACTGATGACTGAACAGCTCACAGAATTGTAGTGGGCCGTCGTAGAGGATCCCGTTGTCTATGAATAAATTAGGAGTTTTGTTTCTGGAGATGCTTGTCCAGGTTATCATCAGTCTGACTAGTGCTTCTGTATAGCTAGTTTTACTACAATGAATGCGTTCTTGTTTAACGGCTTCCAGTACCCTTTCTACCTTGAATGTGTTATACGTGTCTCTTAGCCTGATAAGGAACGAAAAGTCACTCGAATTATGGTACTCTCTGGCAGGGTTACGCATGAAGTTGCGTGCTTTCGTGTGTATAAAGTCAACTCTATTTTTCCTAATTTCTCTTTGAAGCGGTGGAGCAATATACTCTTGAGCCGTGCCTACATATTCATAAAATAGATCACAGAGTTCTTTGGCTGAACTGTTGGTAAAGTAGGGGTTGGAATGTCGGCAGGGCAGAAACAATTGTAGTTCATCCTGTTCGGCATACTTGTACTTTCTGGCTAGAAGTGTTTCTGACTTTTCGGCTAATTTAGTGCTGTATATGCTGAAGTATCCATATACTATCTAGTGATGGCTACCTGGAAATTGTGTACCTACTTGGAGTTTTGTGGGTGTGGCTCCGCTTGTGAAGACTAGGTCCAGGACACTATTGTACATGGTAGGGTGTTCCACATGTTGTTGCCAACCATCTGTTCCAAGGGTGCCCATAAATTTATCAGAGCGCTTTGGATAGCTGATTGGTTGCCGCGTTATATCTGGCATGTTGAAGTCACCATATATGATTTTCTCTGCGTGGTAGTGTTAGCAAACTAGCGCACACCTTTGTTAGCTTCTCGTTGTATTCGACTGGGGAGCAAGGGGGTTGTAGTCGGGGTCCTATTGGGAGGGATGTGGGGCGAGTGAGTTTGGCGATAACCCATACTGGGTCGCCAATCTCGTTTAGCTCAGAGGTGGCAGTTATGTCGGATTTTATATAGATAATGCACCCTCCTCCATTGCCATGCAGTCTGTCCCTCCTGAACAAGGAATAGTTGTCGACGGAGATCTCTGTGTCACAAATGTCAGAGGTACATCAAGTTTCAGTGACCATTATCACGGACGGATCACATATCAGAGATAGCAGTATTATGTGTTTCATTTTATTGCGCACAGGGCGGGCGTTAATCAGGTAAAACGAGGGCGAATCAGGAGCACGAAAGTGTAGGGATATATCTGCATATTCCTTTTGGGTCTTTTGCGTACATCGTGCCGGCGATGTCATAACCTTTTGTACGGGACGACTATTCGGTACTGTTTACCTCGGAGAAAGGGGGTATCCACCACATTGTGGCTGGTACAGGGACTGTTAGTTAAGGTAGAGAACAGATGATCCGACAGCATCTGAATCACTTGCATTGCTGGTGACGTTGCAGACGTATGGTGTCAGGAAAAACCCTGTTCATTGGAAGCCAGGGGGACTGATAGATTGTACGGCACACCTGTCCACTGGCTGTCGTATACATCACAGTCATAGCCGAATTCATACTCACCAAGTTTTTATCTAGATCTACTGTAATTTCGTCCTTCGGCGGCGTGTGACCCACGTTTTGCGGCATATGGGTGGGGCAGAGAGCACAGCCTGTGACTACCGTTCGGCTCCCTATCCAATAACCGTAACGTTGAGGGGTTTGGCCGTGGTTTGTGTCTGATAGTGACCGCGGAAATGTTATGAGATGTGGATCGCCTGGAGAGTAGTTATTTGGTTTGGTCATAGGATGAACTGAGAAATAACGTCTGGCATTTTCTTTAGTGTGGCTTTGCGAGGCTGCAGTGGTCTTTTGGCTATTCGTATTGCTTTTTCATCTGTTGGCCTGGCTGCTTAAGTGACTTTTTGGGAAGTTGATTAACTTAAGTGGGTGCATAGTGTGGGTTGTATAAGATTGTCTAATGCTCTCTGTACTCTTTGTCATCTGCCCATTTGATGCATATAAGTTATACACTGGTTGATGTGGGAGTAGATCAGACTGCTTACGCGCTAGGCTTCGGGATAGTCCTATGGTAAGAGGGTGCTTGTGGCTGGTGCCGGGTATGTTTATAGGCTGAGTAACCCCTAGTGAAGACAAAGTAATGTCTTCAGTATTTTGTTGGATCGATAGCGAACCACCCGGTTTGGTGACTTCTGTGACGGGGTGAGACGGAGACTGACTTGTCCCTTCTGTAGGCAGTGAGATCGCTTTTGAGAGATCGTGTGCATGTTTTTGGGTGTGGTTCGTCGACCCATCCAAGCCTACCACTGTGTCATCGGCTCTACTACGTCTGTGTGTGAGTGAGCTATTTTTGGGCTTTGATGTTGGTCATTCCGTTGTTTTGGTGCAGTAACCAGTTCACTAACAGATTGTGTTGCTGTTGTGGGTACTGCAGCCTGACTAGAGCTTGGGGTTTCTAGTATTTTTGTGCGATTACGTCGCTGACAGGGTGTTAAGTCTTGCGAAAGTTTGACACTTTTATATGGTGTGGACGTACTGATATGTTAATTGGATGATAGGAAGTGTCTGGTGTGGCAAGAGATACTAAATTTGAACAACAAGGGGCAGGCATATTTCCCCAACTTCTTGAGGAGACGGATAACTTGGCATTCTGCGGAAGGCATGTTACAAGCCTGCAAACCAAGGTGGAGCAGCAGTAGTCATACATTTATTGGGCTCGTTAATACCGAAAAACAAGTAAAATAACCAGCAGTCACAGAGGGTTCAGCAACGACTTATGTATCAAGTATGCTGATTATTGGCGAATGTTTCTTTACAGTTTAGATAAAGTATATGGTAAAACTATTATGTCTCGAAGTTAACAGCTATAGTTCGTGACTACATTAAGTGAAACAGACAAATAACTTCTCTTTAAGTCAGTCCTCGTTTTGGTTCCCCTGTTCTCTCAGCAGTAGTTTCTTGTGTCCAATTGTACATATCCAGATGGGTGTTTTTTGAAGGTGGTATCCTCTAACTTTCCAGAAGAGGGGTATGATGCCCAGGAAGTTGAGTTACTGATAAAAAGAAGCAGTATATGCTCCGAATCTTTCTTTTGTACAGACAGATGTACTAAACCGCGGAGCGTGCCGATATAAAATACCACGACATGCAGGAGCAACGTATTAGTGCTCAATAACATGCGCAGATAATTAGACTTAATATGCTTCACGAAGCCTTGGATAAGCAAAATTTTACTTCGTGGATGTAACCTATGCTACATAACGCCAACCGTCTACATAGACCCATCGTATCATTCAGAATTCGGGAAGCTACGTGACGACAGTAAAGATTTGCTAAAACTATCCCCAGGAATTATTCCAGTAGTCACCGTGAGCTATATTCATTTAGACTTCCATTCCTGTTAGAAAATATAAGGCAACGCAAGGTAATTTCATGTGTTGCATTCAGTCTCCGCTATTATCTCGTGTGATTGCAAATGATACTAGGTCATTGATAAAAGCAAGAAACATCAGTGGAACAGCGGTAGAACCCTGAGGAGCACCAATCGGACAGAGATGAACTAACTCTAAATGACTGCATCCTAGTATCAAGATATTCTCTAAGCTAGCTTAATAACTTTTGGCTCACAGCCATGAGCCAAAGCTTCCTGCACAGGATATCCTGATGTTCCGTGTCAAAAGCCTTAGAAAAATTGGGTTGTCCAGTGCTAACGGACTCTTGCCGCCCATCAACTGCTTTTTAATTCCTTAGCTGGTAAGCTTGCTGCCTTGGGGTTAGTGTGGAGAATCTAGGGTTCTGCATCCTAAGCGAGATATCGCTCTTCCATTTCATCAGTACACGCAGTACCCCGTTATTTCCTGACAGGTTTCTACGAAGGTGTGCCTGACAGTTTACTCTGCCATTCATAATTTTTATAGTACGTCTGTCACGGATATCCTTGTAATTTCGCCAGTCCATTGACCTACTAGTGACCCTCCACTGATTCCGAAACGGCTGTTTAAGTGCTTGAATTGAGCCAGGAAGTATGAAACTTTTCGGTTCTTCGTGGAACTGAAGGACCAGCAAGTTTTGTTACCTCTATCTTGAGTCGAGCAAGTAAACGGTCATCTTGTAACCAATGCGGGAACTCAAAACGTTGACAGCATCATAAAAGTTTCTATTTGCCTGTCTTTCTAGTGGATAGTTAAAAAACTTGACTGCAGCTATCTTCCTTCATAACCATAGGTGACAGACTTTTTATGATTACAACCGCAAAATCTTTCAGGTTCACATGTTCCAAGTTCCCAGTGTCCGGAAGAACCCTCAGGCCCTTTTTGCCAATAAGTAAATGAGAGATTAACACCACATCATCTACATTCCCAGAGCCTGATTTATTAGATTGCGGTATTTGGCAGACAAACATCGATAAAAATGGATGTGGACATGATGTTTTTCTGAGCACAAACGCTCTGATGCATGCACATAGTCATTCCTCATGCAAGTGAGCATACAGTCAGTGAATGTTCGCAGACTGCCTACCATCAGTCTACAAGACTACCCATAACATAAAAAACTAAGTATGGGGTACAAATATAAATAAATACACTTAAGAATGACGATAACTTACCGCCTGCCTTCAACCTTCCAACCACATTTCCACTGCATGACAAGCATTTGTCAGGTACTAAAAGCAGAATATTTTACAGAACGCACCTATTCTCTAAGAAGACGCATTATGAATGGACAACTTAACTACACAGAGTGACGATGTCGCAAACAACTACTGCAAGTCAGGGAACAGACAACAGGCTAGCACCGACATGCTCAATGTAACGCAGGTAATCAACTCGACAAATCTAACTACATAGTTAGTAATACTACACTGGATAAAGAGAATAAATGATAGTACTGCCAAAAATACTAGTCTCACAGACGGTTTGAACGAAATATTGACCACTAATGTCAGCCATGCCACATTAAGTTGCCATGACAATATGCTGGTTACAGACATGCCTTCCCGCCAAACCGTTCACATTTTGTAATCCACCAATCATCTGAAGGCAACGTGACCTAGGATTGCGTCACCACAGTCTTCACTGTAACCTCAATCCTATACTATAACTGCTCCGCTGCACCGCAGGAATTAAATGCGTCTTGATGTGATTACTGGACCATCTTTCAGAATGTGCTACTTTGTCGCTGAATGAATATCAACAAGACGTCTCAGCACACTTTGTAGTCGACCTTGGCTGTCCAGGCTGTTATTTTACTGCCGCGTAAGTTTGAGAATTATCAATGATGTACAGTATAGGTAGTATATATATATATATATATATATATATATATATATATATATATTCTCTTTTAGTAGTAATATGGTTGATGCTGGTGGCTTTATGATTCCGAAATCAGATCTGGTTCAATTTCCAGTAAGATTGTTGTATAGTGATAGCTTTGCAATGCGCAAATGTGAGAAACTCCCATCTGGAGCGAAATCTGAATTAAACATTACTCAGTTAATCGTTCTGTTACGAGGGTAAAGTAGGGGATACTAGACAGAAAAGGCGAGTCAGCTGACTCACACACATTAGTGTGTATGGTTGTGGACGTTCACCGACTGAAACGGCTTGGCACGTGCTGCTCTCGACGAGCCATCGCCGACTTTGATGTGCAATTTTGACTGAAGTTGAAAGGATTCTAAAGGTGGTCCACCACTTAACTTCAATAGTACTAGTAGAGGGAGCTTGTAGTTTTCGAGCTCTTGCTTCTAGTTCTCGGAGCTTCTTTCTTTTTGTTTGATTACACTCCTTCTGCGGTCGCAGAAGTCCCTACGTTTTCCCTCATTATAGCTCTGTAGGTGGTGATTGTCGATTTGAGGCTATTTTTTCTTGCAAATTGTAGTTTGGCTTGTTTGGGGGAGCAACGGGGCTGCTGACAAGATCAGTTAACATTTTTCAATTTCTGTTTTTCTAAGCACCTACAAGTAAGTATTAGGCGTTACTTAAAAAGTAGTGATAGAAATAGGACAAATGGGGAATGAGGAAAAAAGTAGTGAAAAGCACTTATGGAAAAATAAGTGTTAATGGTAATAATATAGAGAAGGGATCGGTCTTATTTCAGATACTAGGGTTGAGGAATACCGGGATGGATGAGCATAGTTTCAGTTGCTACGGACAAATGTTCGGGGTAAGCCATTTGCGCTCATGTACCTATCGAGCAGTCGTTTAAAGCAGTCAGCTCACATAGCTGTGGCTACCTCCCTCGACAAAGCATTCCCTAAGGCACACTGTCAGAACAAAATAAATCTCACTCTCGTCTCTGCCCTGTGGTGATGTGTGTAAATGGGGCTCCCGCAAGACTTAGTTTTGGGCCGATGTTTACCTGTTGGGTTTGTCCACTTGGTCAATGATCTTGTAGGCCGTTATTGGGTCACCTCGTTTCCTTCTGTGGCTTAGTGTGAATAAGGTGAGTTGTCTAAGACGTTGCGCCTGTTAGTCTGACAACCGACTTTTTCGCCCTTCTCTGTACCTTCTACAGAGTACTCCCGTCTCTCTCGTAGAGGTTGCACTATCGTGTTGAATACCTTTAGGTGTGGTCTGACATAGGTCTTAAATACCATGAGGAATAATCATGGGGTTAGCGCTTTGAACTGCCTTTTTAGAAAGTGCATGATGCCGTTTGCCTTTGCTGTCATTCCCTTATAGTTGGCACCAGTATCCAGTGTGTCAGAGAAGCTTAGTCCTAGGTCCTTCTCTGTGAATACCCTGACACTTGCACACTTGCCGGGAGTGTAGCTGGTTTTCATCACTTCTGGTGTGCGAAGATACATCACCTTACATTTCTCCAGGTTAAAGCCCAAACCATTCTCAACTGACCAGGACTCCAACTGTAGTATGTCGTCTTGGAGTATCCTAGGATCGTCTTCTCTACTTATCGTCCTCCATATTTGATGTCGTCGGCAGATAGGAGGATAGTCGAGATTCTAGTAGGAAGGTCATTGATGAATAGTAAAAAAAGAAGTGGTGCAGGGATGGCTGCTTGAAAAACTCGTGTTCTTGCACTCCTCCAGGCTGATGAAATTCTTTTTACTGTAGTACATAATTCTCTGTCCCCTAGATATGCTGTAAACCGTGCTATGAGTGGTTAAGTGATAGCCTGTTTTGCAAGTTTAGCGAGCGTGATATAGTGTGGGACTCTATCGAGAGTTTTGGCCAAGTTCAGAAAGATAACGTCGACTGGTTGCTTGTTGTCCCATCTAGTGGTCCACTCATCCCAAGCGGTCATCAAATTTGTGACACATAACCGCTCGGTTCTGAATCCGTGTTGGGTGGGATGAACGATGTTGTTTCCAGTCTTTCCAGTACCTTGGGTAGTATAGAAAGTAACGCTGCTGATTAGTAACTCCATGGGTTTTTTCGGTCTCCTCCCTTGAGGATTGGTAGAAGGATAGCACGCTCCCATTCCTTAAGGAGATGACTTCCAGTGAGTGCGTGAACAGAGTCCATAGGGATATGATCTGCACTTCAGCACAACTTCTTAGGATCACCGTTCATATGTCGTCACAGCCCGGAGATTTTCCTATTCTGAGTGTTGAAAGTTTCGCCTACATTTGGTTTGACGAAATCTTTACGTTCATCAGCTTTTTATCGTAGTCCCAGAACCTCGTCACATCACAAGATGTTTATGGTAGATACGTCACTGTTTTAAGCTGCTCATCAAATCGGCTGTCCAATAGTTCTGGTATCTCACTGCTATTCAAAAGTCCTGCGTTCGGCCTTGTGACTAGGTTTAGACTTTTAGTTGTTGGTATAAAATGACATAGGCTCTGAGTAATAGCTTTACTGCTTTGCCAGGTTACTCTGGTACTTGTACCTGTCATTGCGAACGCATATCACATGGGTTGTGTAACTTCGTGTAATTGTGTGTGTGTGTGGTGTGCGCCACCTATACCGTGCCTTATTTTTCCTCTGTATTTACCTTTGGGTTGCGCGAGTAACCCGACCGTTTGAGAGGTGGTCGTCCGGTTAATTTCGCAACACTTTTCAGTAGCGCTCCAGACAATATCTTTAATGTACGTCCAGTGTTCGTCCATCGGAACAGAGTGCCATCCTTGTGACCATGGAGCCTCCAGGAGTTCATTGCTCATGAGCTGGTATTCTGCCTTCCGGTATCAATGGAACGCCTCTGGTTCAACTTTTAGTGGTTTCTCCTTGGTTGTCAACGCAACCTCACCAATGCTTGATCGCTTTTGCCTAGGTGGGTTGAACACAGATATCGTTCACCAAAAGATCATCGCCTGTTAAAACATAGTCAAGTTATCCTTTCCCATCTGGTGTTTTCCCCTACTTTTTTTTGTTAGTCCTGCTGCCATAAATGTTTCGAAGTCTCTGCTCGAGAGACTTATCTCTGCAGCCCACTTCACACCCCGGATTAAGTCCCGGTGTATTGAAGTCTCTAGCGAGGACTACATGGTCATTAGCTTTCGAGTTGGCTGTCGAAATCGCCATATGCTTTGTTGTGCATAGAAGAGACCTGTGTACCAAAAGAAGTCTGGCAATTGGCTAAATACATTATCAGTCGCATCCTCGACTTCCAGGTTCCTGCTAATATATATGGCCACTCCGGCTTCTTTGAACTCCCTGTCCTTTCGGAACAAGGTGATGTAGGTAAAGATATTTCCTGGTCCAAGACGTCTGATGAAAGCCATTTCTCCGTAATGAAAATTATATCCGCATGCAGATGACAGGACATTTTCTTAGCTCCATTAGTTTACTTCTGAGGCCTCTTAAATTACTGTAGAGGCACGTCAAGGAAATACGTTCTGGCCTTGGTGCGGTACAGGAACTTGTGTGGAGGTTAGTATGCTGTTATCAATTCCTAATGGACTGGAAAGCCTCTTTTTTGGTGTCTTCCCGGCATCCTGTTGTTGGTGTGACGAAAGTGTTCATTGTTATGTCTACAGGCATTAGTTCACGAGATAGTTCTTTTGTGATCATTATTGCCTATAGTGTTCTTGGAAGTTGACTTCTATCTTCCAGTCTAGTACCATGCTGTAAGGGCTTCTGTGAGTGATGCACTGGAGTAGAAGCGTACAGCCAGCAACCTCGGTGAAAAGATGCTCTGTAGGCGAGTAGGTCTTCGTAATCAAGACGACAAATCCGTGAAGTCTTTGACTGTGGTTATGAGCCATATTTATTCACCGTTTTTGTCTTCTGAAATTCGAACATCCATCCATTCAACTTCATGTGCATATTCCTTTTCCTCCCTTACACTTTTGTTCACTTTGACATCACTTTTTCTACCCACCTGTTTTTTGCATGATACTGTGAAATGTGGCAATATAAACTGATGCATTTCTGTGCTACGTTCTACGTTGATTTTGTCAGTGGTCTAAAACATTTGGCCCCTTAATGCCTTCTACTTTTAAAGGTTATGCTTCGTATTCCAAATACTGAACAGAACGGACTGCCGTGCAGTTTACCCTGCCTTTATTACGTGGTCCGATATTATTGCAGCGCTTTAAACAAATTATGCCATTTCACCTACTTGAGGAGTTGTAGCAGCCTAAATGAGTTAATGTTTGGGGAACTCTTAACTCGGATGCAAAGAGCCTATCTGACATTAAACAAATTATGCCATTTCATTTCAGATAGACTCTTTGCATCCGAGTTAAGATTTCCCCAAAAACCAACTCATTCGGGCTGCTATAACTCCCCAAGTAGGCGTAACAGTCATCGCATTCCACCATTTCACTCTCTATCTTTAAGTTAGTAGTTGGTGCAAACCAATCTTCAAGCGCCACCACAAGCATACACAGATTTCCGCTCAAGCCGTTCGCGAGATTGCATATTGTCAGCATCTCTGTTGTCTGCGTACTTTAAGGCAACCAGGTACCCTCCAGAGATTGAGTCAGTACCTTTGAAGTCAAAGGTAAATAAAGTTGTTTGAATCAGCATATGTACACACTTCCTGATAAAAATGGTGACAGAAATATGACTAACCCTGGGTGACGGTATGTATGTGTTCCCAAACTTGTCAAAGAGTAAAGATCTGATCGATACACACCGTCAGTCCCGAGTCTGAGCTGTAGCTCATTGGTTTAGGAAGATGACTTTTAATCAGTGGGTGATGGGTTCAAACCCCGCTTTGCCTACCGAGGTTTGGGTTTATTAGGTGTGGCTTATTGCCTACTGCGCAAATATGCACGTGATCTCTGAGTGCATTTTGACGTCCGGGTACGCCTGATTTTTCCTAGTTAGCTATTCTTCAGATTTAA